ACTGTGCATCCCTTACTGCAGTTTCAAGTTAGTTGAGATCCAGAAAACCGTATGAAAGTGGTACTTAAAATGCTATCTCAACATAGTTTTCCCCACTGAATGTTGTATCAGCCATTCCAGAGGTAATCTGCATATTGATCACTTACTAGCAGGCATTATTAACTTTAACTGGCAGTATAGAATATAGTCCCTAGATTCTGGAAGAAAATTCTTCTAAGCAGCATTCCCCAAACTAACAAACATGATTAATTTTGAATTTGCATTTCAAAATTATATCAGTAACAGTTATTTTAAGAAATTCATGTTTAAGAATTTGATTTTGCTTTCATACCTGTGACTTCTCTTTGCGTTCCCACTTTGAGGTTAAATTATTCTACCTCTTTGATAGGTTCTTTGTCAGTCAAAGTTAAAGCAGCTGAAGAAGGGTTACCAGTAAGAGCTTAAACTTACACAGTAGTAAAAATTAATTGTTCCGATAAAGCGTTGCAATTGTTCCTTTGTCATACTGGCAGAAGGGATATAAACCTCATGAAAAAGTGCAAAATGTTTCCAACGTTAGCAGGAAGGTGCATGTAGTTCAAATTCTCTGTGATAGCTGGCTCCAGAAAAGAAAGTCAGGTAATTTTTTTTTTTCTTTTTTTTTTTTATTGTATAGAATTGTAATGTCAGGAAAGAGAAAATACGGTTATAGAGTTATAGAGAGAGAACCACAGGAACTATAGAAGTAAAACCATTTACTTTCCAGTAGTCCAGGACATTTTATTTTACATCTCAGTGTGATAGCTTTAGATCACTACAGTCTGCAGATGGAAGTGTGATTTAGTGATCTATTGAACTCTGAATGATACAGAGTTTCTTCACTTTTATTGCTCTTAAAGAAATACCTGGGGAACAGAAATTTGTTAGTTTATGCTCTGCAGTTATTATGTGTCCTGTTTTCTGGGCATCTCAAAGCATTATTTAAATGCTGACCCTTGTAGTGTATTTTGTAATGTGAATAAGCATTGCAGTTCTAAATAGACAAACACATACTCATAAAATGTGAATTATTCATTCCAAATTATGTAGCAAATACTAGAGCTGAAGAAAAATCTGATATTCACACTTATGGAGCCTCTTCAAGCACTGTATTCCTTGTGTTGCCTGAGATTGAATAGTGTTGAATGAAGCACTCTTGAGATCTGTTTAATCACAGAACCACAGAATATTCTGAGTTGGAAGGACCCACAAGAATCAACAAGTCCAATTCTCAATGACACCGTTGTTTGCAAACCTCAGCACTTTTGCTTCTTGTTAGATTCTGTAATAAGATGTTCAGTTGTATGGATGTTGGGGTTTTTGTGTATATATAATTTTTTTTAATGTATGTTATGGTACAAATTCTGGGTTTTAGTAATAACACAATATACCTTGCTTAAGAACTTGAAGATCACACGGATTTCAGATAACTTTGTTTCCCCCTGCTTATCTTCTCAAACATTTTCACAGAGCTATATTTAAAAAATATTGGTTTTAAAAGTTCTCAGCACAGCTGCAATGTCCTGTAGCAGAGTCTGGTAGCTTTCTTTTTTGTTGTTGTTGTTTTTTGGCAGCATAAAAACATCTTCTTGGCAGCATAAACATTCACACTTAGACACATTGCTTGTCTCACTTCCTCTGACATGCCACCATTTTCCCTCAACTTGAAGCTTTGAGCTGACACATTCTTAAAACAGTACCATAATTTCTGTCCTGCCACAAGGCTCATATGACAACTAGAGTTGGTCAGTCCACTGTCACTGGTCCCAGTAGTTCCTAATAATCAAATTTACATGGAAGATTGGCAACTAGCTTACCTACTTTTAGACACATAAACTTCAGTCTTGTGTAAAATCAAAATTGTCTAAGCTTTAGGTGATTTAATGTCGTAGTCAAGAGAAAAAAAAATTACTGTCACCTTGATCTGGTACAACAAATGTGTACAGAAAATGGAGGAGAAATTAAATTCCAGCAATGTTGGTGTCCATGTTTGGCATAGGGAGTGTAATTGCTTGACTTCTTGGTGTCTAGATGAAACTAAGATAAATCCCACCTTTAGTGTTTCTCCCTTGAATAAAAAGCTTTTTGTTATACACTATGTGTTTATTTTTATGTCATAGTAGAAAAGATAAAAGCTGTTTTTTCTTATTATCCTAAAGTATTTTAGGAGTACTTTGTAGTGTTTCTACTGTGCAGTTTTCCATTTATGCTAAGATATATCTGCTTACTTCATTTTATTTTCTTACAGCTTGCACTCACCATGGAATTAAACATATTTGGATGATACAGACTAAAGAGAAAGAATCTTTATTTTGGGTTTTTTCGCAATAATTTCCTGGATAATATATATATATATATATATATAATATATATATATAATATATATATATATAATATAATTTTGTGCAATTTATCTTGTCATATGCTGGATTTGATACTCAGTTTTAGTCTTTATGTTTTCACTTTCTTTTCTTTATTCTAACCTCATAATTTTGAAGTAGTTTAAAAGCCAAGTAGAGTGAAGCTTATTGATACACTGCAGATCTGTCAGTGTAGCTGAATGTTTATTGCATGTCAGCTAAATCAAAATTTAAAATGCAAAGTACTAGATATTTTCTGGTAGGTGTATTAGTATGCCTATAGATTAGAAACACATTTCTGTAAAGTGAAAGAATTATGTGTCATAGGATTTCTGTGCATCATAGAAGTGCCAGAAGATTCTTCATAATGAAAACTTCATTCTTTACCCAGATCAATAAAAAGCTATATTTTTTCATGAAGTCTTAGAGTTTCTCTATAAGATAAATTCTGATTTAGAGTAATCCTTACCACAGCTCTCCCTCTGAGTATCTTTTTGATATCTGTGCTTGTGCTGTTTTTTGTTGTTTTACCCTCACCATGTATTTGCAGAATGCTATTATTAGACCATTGCTGTGTATTTATAGGAATTCAGGTGTATGGGAGTTAAAAATGTGCCTTTAATGTTCTGAAGAAACTGCAACAAAAAAAATGTTATACCTGATTCTGCAAAGGCACCAATATTAACTATCATATTGCACACTGTAAATTGAATTAAAATAATGCTACAAAGCATATCTTATAATAGAATTGTGCTCTGAAGGACTGGATAAACGATATTTAGTTTTAGCAAGTTTGTTTCATTTCCAAGTTTTATTGAATAACTGTGAAGCTATTTTTGAGCTAAAAATGGTAAATAGGTCAATATAGTATTTTCCGGGTAAAATATTTTCTTATTGTCTTTTTCCAAAGTTTATACTGATTTAATGTGTAATGATAATAATATTTTGATGTAATTTCTATTTAATTATTTTTAGTTTAACAAAAGAACAACGAATTCTTTCACTGCAATTGTTTTAAATTTGAAGAGTGGCCTAACCACAAGCCATGTTTATAACCATATAGAATAAAGCCGGGCAAGAGATCATGTTCACTATTCTGAAACAAAGCGTTTCCTACTGACATCCCCTGGGGACACATTCTAAAACAGGTGAAGCACTGCCATGATGTGGAGAGTTCTTGTAGATAGCAGCAGGTGCAACTGAGATGAAAATCCCATCCATTTTTAAGTGAATGGTGAATGACTTTGTGCCGAGGCATTCAAGAGTTCTCTCACTTTCTGAATGAAAAATTAATTCCTTTTCTAACCAAATGGTTGGGATAAGCAAATAAGGTGTTAAAGGATTCAAAGTATGATAGAAATATGTAGCTATTGTAACATTTGACTCTCAGGGAGGATTTTTTTTATTTTCTGAAATGGTTGTCCTTGCCTGTGCTCTGACTTAATTTTTCTTACTGTCCTCTGCTGCAATTTACTTATACACTTGTTAAAAAAAATATTAAGTCAGTGCCACTCGGCCAAACTTGTGGTGGTGTTTGTTTCTTTTCTTTTCTCTTACACTTTAACCAGTGTACTAGATTTTAGGGTGATATCATTACTTATCAAGAGTATGGCCTCTTCACGACAGAAATTAGGATTTGAAAGAGAGATTAGCATTTAGAAATTTCTTGGCCTCTTCTGATAAATTACAACTCAAGCAGTTATATCTGTTAAAATCTAGTATCTTAGTCTCTACCTAAATAACTATAAAACTAGACAGGGAATCCATCAAGATATATGCAGACCACCACAGATTTGTAGACTTAACGTAGGTGTGCATCACACTGCATTCATTCCACTTGAGGTAGTTCCAGTTACTAAATGGCTTGACTATATATTTTCAGAGCTTAACAAATTATTCAGTTATAATGTTGATGTTAAATGTGCATGTAATATAATAGCTAAGCAGCCTTGGCAGACTGGTGTTAATGAACAGTATGTCATACTTAACTGATCATGTTTCTAAATCTATATTTTGCTCAAGTTCAATGCAAAATATCAGTGAGTACATGTGACACCTGCATTGCACAGGAATGCTGATAGAACACAGATTTACCTTCATGTTTTTTCAGCACTAGAATTGCTGGAGTCTTTAGGGTTCTTTCTTAATCCATGAGATAACTTTGGTCTCCAAAGGTTTCAGGTCATAAAAACTAATCACTAAATTTGTCATATCATGCAGTGGCCAGGAACTATTTCATGATTTCTGAAAATAAACATGATTTCTCACTGTAGTGTTAATGACAAATTAGAAAATAATCTTTTATTAAAACAAATTGGGGAATTACTGCTGATTATTTTTTTTTGTTTCAATTGTGAATGTTTTAGGTATAGTGCTTTGAAAGAAGTGCTTTTGCTAAAGTTTTTATCAGAGAGATTCCACTTACTACTTCTCAGCTGAAAAGATAAAAAAGGAACACTACCTGCCAAACACACTGTACAAGTCCTGTAGCTAATGTATCTGCAGACTTACTTTGATTGGTCTATGAAAAATATTTCGTTTGTCTTTGTTATATTTTGATTTAATGATTAAGATTTTCTTTCTTCCAAAGAGTGCTGTATTTGACTGTTTGTACTTGTGCAGGGTTGGTGAGCGTGAAGCGGCCCTAGAATCAGCCCTAAGAATGTTGCAGCAATTCTACCTGGATCTCGAAAAGTTCCTTGCTTGGCTTACAGAAGCTGAAACAACTGCAAATGTCCTGCAGGATGCTACACACAAAGAAAAGACGCTCGAGGATGCCAAAACAGTTCGGGAGCTCATGAAACAGTGGCAGGTAAGAGGAGCACTTCAGTTTAGAGGCACTTGACAAGCATGAGAGTTTATCAAGCATATCTGATATTTATAGAAGTTATATAATTTGCATCAAGTTTATTCTCTGTAGCTTAACTGAATTAGTTTTTCTCCATTACTTTCAAATACATGAGAAATGGTTATTTGGTAGTCTATTGTCAACGTGCTCTGTTGCGGTAATAAAAAGAGATAATGATGCAAATTTTCCTCGTAAATGGCTGGACAGTTTTCATACAGTTATTTTCCTCTGGGGAAAAAAAACCTTAAAGAGAAAGACTGTTGTACTTAGTGTTCCAAAGAATCTTGAAGAGAAAGAAAATTAATTAGATGATATGGTGCTGTTGAACTATGCTGTTACACTTTCATTGTACTTTCTTCATTACACTTATTGAGAGGTCTTCTTGAGATTTTAAATTTCTTAAATATGAGGTTAGTTGACTGTTTGGAAGCAGGACCCTTTTGTCCAACATTCGTATAATCATAGAATAGTTTAGGTTGGAAAAGACCTTTTAGACAATCAAGTCCAACCATTAACTCAGCACTGCCAAGCCCACCACTAATAGACCACGTCCTAAAGTGCCACATCTACATGTCTTTTAAATACCTACAGGGATGATGACTCCACTAATTCCTTGGGCAGCCCATTCCAATGCTCAACAACCTTTTTGGTGAAGAAATTTCTGGTATTCCTTCATAGTGCATGACTTTCCTGTTGACAGAAAGTTCAAAACTGGAAATTTCAGGCACTGGATCATCTATGCCTGAATTTACTTTAAGAGAAACATACTGTGAAAAGTTTAGTTATAAGTGATTATATTGAGTAAGTACATTGGATGGATATACTTCTTTTGGCCCTACTGTATTAATACATGATTTATCTATTTACTGAACTGGGGCTAGTTTCCATTATATGATAATCTGTTGCACAATTGTTGCACTGTACAAAAATAAGCCTAAATCATACTTTTAATACTGGTTTCTCTTTATGCTAATTTGATTTTATAGCAATATACCAAAGCCCCCCATGTGTTTCTGAATTTAATTACACTATTCTTCTTACATAAAATTTTTCATTTAGGTGATATAATTTAAATGACATAAGAAAATTATTCAAAAGAAAAAAAGAGTGAATTTATATAATAGATAGGGAGTGCTTAGCTGTAAAATAATTTATTATGATGGGTAATATTTACAGTAGTCATAGCACATATCATTAGTCTTTATTGTGAAAGCTTTTTGCCCAAACAGGTACAGTTTCCTGATACCGGTGCAAATATTACCTATCTGTGTTGCTACAAAACTGGATAATGGAGTACCATTTTGTCAATAGAACAATTTTATGATGTCAGCTGAATGGTCAGGAAAGGGATTATGGCTTTTCATCTGTTCCTTAGGTATTGCTGCATCAATTGTTCCAGGCTTCATGCTCTGCTTGTAGGAGTTCTCTCTCACAATTCACTTTGATGCATAAGGATGAAAAGCAAGAACATGACATAAGTGTGGATTTTGCACTCAGCTTATGCATATAAAAGATTCAAACAAAAAAGAGCTTTAATATAATAAAATAAGTCACAAAAGTCTCAGAAATATGCATTTATGTACTTTGTGGAAAGGGGTTATTGCTCACTAATCCATAAAATCAGCCCCAGTTTGATAAACCTCTTTTGTTCCTCTCTACTGTGGGTGAGAAATACACTTACCCTACATAACACATCAGGCAATGACTTGTATTCCAAGAAACTCACTATTTAAATTGTACATGTTAAAAGCAGACACATTCAAATACAGTCCATGTCCTTAATATATATTTTTAACACTCAGTATATGTGGATGCTAGCCACAAGCCTTGTCCCAGCATAAAAAAGATCCTAAATGCTTTCAGTCAGGATTAGAGTTCCAAACTGCTTTCCTTTTTCCACGTGAAGTTTTTGTTTTGTTTCGTTTGTTTTGTTTTTAATCTCTCATCAACCAACCTGAATCCAGACCCTAGGAGGTAAAATAAAATAGTGGTTTCTGATTAAAGATCACCATGTCATAAATCTTTTGAAAGAAACTTTGACTCCCTGGGTTTATAGCATTCATAGAAGTTATGGTCAAATATGACATAAGGGCTTAGATCTGCAGTCTCTGTCTTGCTCTTTATGAAGGTGCACAGACTTGCATAATGTGAAAATAGTCATTAAGAGTCCTGAAATGTTAAAATTCTGTTTTAATCTGATACTTTTAGGCACTAAGTATAAAGCAGTTCTTTTGATAAATAATACTCTACAGAAATAATGAAAAACCTAAATTTCTGAATTCACTAGTAGTTTTATATCCTTGTCAATACAGATGCTTATCTCACCTTTTATGATCCAGCAGTTTTCTGCTTTACACTCTCAAAATTTATTTTTTTAATGATTAGAAAAATAATGACTTGCCGTACAGAAACTTTTTACAGAGCAGAAGTTGCTTGTCTAGGAAAATCTCCCATTTTTAGGCATTTGTTTTCCTTTTCATGTTCAGAAATCATTAACTCAAATGCTACTAATAAAGATTAATCTTTCCGTAGTAGTTAGCAGTTCATTCAGTAGCAGAAGGAGAAAGGTGAGACTTATATAACTGCACATTCTCATTACCTGATGATGTAATTATATTAAAATGTTGCTTTATAAACACACTGTTTGTTTGTATAAGGATGTATTTACATGCATCATTTGTCTGAACTGACAGCAATGTACTAGATGAGGCGATTCACACAGTTGGAATACTTTCTGGAGAATTTTCAAGGATACAAACCTATTACTCCAAGGAGTTGTGTAATTATGTGCTGCATTTTATTGTCTCAGTGAAATACATCATGTGTCCTCATGAGGCCTGGTTTTATAAGTAACCATATGAGGGAGATGAAAACAATTATCTTTACTTTCTGCTTTCATACTTCTAGTGATATGAATTCTCAGCTGTATTAATTATAATTATGGGTCAGTTTACACAGCACTGGGCCTGCTGGTGACAGATGGGGTACACCTGTCTCCAAGGGGTAAAAGGATTTTTGCACAGGAGTTATCAGGGTTTAGTGAAGAGCTTTAAACTGGATTTGAAGGGAGAAAGGTTTAGAACCAGGCTCACTGGAGATAAGCCTGGGGACAGCATGCCAGTGTTTGAGGGATGGTGTACTGGTGAGGTCTTTTGGTCTGATATTTCAGTGGAGGTGGAGGATGGAGATCCCTGTGGCTGCAAAGACACAAGAGTTATTGATGTGTTAGACACCGTGGAAGCACCATGAGAACAGTCACATAGGAATTAGTGTGTTCTTCCCCAAAAAAGGTGGCAGGATCAAAAACCCAAAGTCCACCCACACCGAAGCATGGGCAACAAATAGAAGGAGATGGAATCCACTGTGCAGCTGGAAAGCTATGGCAATAGTTGCCATCACAGAGATATGGTAGGATGACTTGCACAACTGTAGTGCTGCAATGGATGGCCATAAACTCTTTGGAAGGGACAGGCAAGGACGAGGAGACAGCGGGGCATCCCTGTGTGGTAGGGAGTGGTTTGGCTATCTAGAGCTTGATGATAGTGATGACAGTAGGGTTAGGGGTTTATGGGTAAAGAATCAGGGGAAGGTCAACAAGGCAGATATCCTGGTGGGAGTCTGTTATAGACCTGCCACCCATGATGAAGAGAGAGATGAAATATTCTCTAAACAAATGGGAGAAGTCTCACAATCACTAACCCTTGTTCTCATGTTCTCACTGATGGGCCAAGGTCTATTGTATGAGGTTCAACAGGACCTGTTGGGTCCTGCACTGTGATCCAGACAATGCTCCAGGCTGGGGCAAGAGTGTCTGGAAAGTGACCTGAGGGTGCTGCTCAACAGCCAGCTGAACATGAGCCAGCAGTGTGCCCAGGTGGCTAAGAAGGCCAATGGCAACCTGGCTTGTATCAGAAATAATGTGGTCAGCAGGACAAAGGCAGTGATTTTTCCCCCATACTGGGCACTGGTGAGTCCACACCTTGAATCCTGTGTTCAGTTTTGGGTCCCTCGCTTCAAGAAAGACACTGAGGGGATGGAGTGTGTCTAGAGAAGGGCAATGGAGCTGGTGAAGGATCTGGAGCACAAGTCCTGTGAGGAGCAGCAGAGGGAACTGGTGTTGTTTATCCTGGAGAAAAAGAGGCTCAGGAGAGACCTTATCTCTCTCTACACCTACCTGAAAGGAGGTTGTAGTGAGATGGGAGTTGGTGTCTTCATCCAAGAGGAAATGTCTTCAAGTTGTCCCTGGGGAAGTTTAGATTGGGTATTAGGAAAGATTTTCTCACAGAAAAGGTTGTCAAGCATTGACTTCCCAGGGAAGTAGTTGAGTCACAGTCCTGGATTCCTGTCACTTAGAGATACCATGTAGAGGTGAAATTGGTGGTACTAGATTAATGGTTGAACTTGATTATCTTAGAGGTGTTTTCCTATCTTAAGAACTCCGTAATTCTAAGGAGTACTCTTCTGGTCTGTCTTTTTAGCAATAATTGTATGTGACACTTTATACAGCTTATGTAACAATAGATTAGTGTGGATTTATGCTGTTATTTTGTGAATGAAATCAGCTAATATTTAGCCTGCAGATGAATATAATCACAGAGTTTTTTCACTGAAATTAGACAAAGAATACTGCATGTGACAGTTAAATATTAACCGTAGAATGCTTCTGTACTAGATACACAGGTTACCAAATGTATCTGAAATAATCTATGATGACTGATGAATTATTGGTAGTGGAGACTGACTGAAAGTATGTCAGGATATGATAAGTGAAGCAATGTTAACACTTAGGCATGAAATACATAGCAGATTTATTTTTATTGCCACCTTCCTTCTCACTATGACCTAAGTAGTTTTCCATTAGATGCAGGAGTTTTGCCTCTAATAATATGAAAAATATGCAATACCTTAATATATACTTAATCTAGTGTAAGCAGCACCCTTATATTCTCACAGTGATGTTTTCA